AACCATTAGATCCCAGCCGTGAAAGCCTTTACGAAATTTAATTGGGGCTTACCAGTGGTGTTTAAATTAATAGGTGTCAAGCTGTCTTGTCAGTTGTTCAATGTGTGTTTAGCAATAATCCTGATTATGGTAAAAATCTGATCCCATTCAGAGCAAATTTATCCTGAGAATGGCTTTCTCACTCGCTATAATACATTTCAGACAGGGATAAAGGCATCAACCAAATTTTGGAGTTGTAGTGGAGTGAGGTAAAAAGGAGGAAGGTAATTTGTGAGCATAATGCAGTACTCACATATAACACTTGGCACATACCTGTGCATTTGACTTTTTTGCCTGCACACATACTATAACACTTATTTATTATTATTTATTTAAATTACTTTTATCTCACCTTTCTCCTTAAAAGGACCCAAGGTGGCTTATATCATTAAACATAGTATTTAAAAGCTAAAACAGTAAGTATACAAACATCAAAAATAATTAAACAAGTATTATATTAAAATAGTACATGCAATCAATATTAAAACACATTTAAACCAAAAGAGCACAACAATCCATTTAAAACCCCTCTCAGACCACCAGTCATTACAGAAAAGCTTGCCTGGAGAAAAAGGTCTTTGCCTTGTCTTAGTATCACACTCAATGATAGTTACAATTTGGAATTTGAGACTATCCCTATAAATCACAAAAGGCATTGGAAATTCTCACAAACATTTATATGTAGACAGAAATGGAGGGGGCAGGAAGAAGAGGGCAGAAAATAGATATGAACAGACGCAGTACCTTAAAATGTACTAGAGATTTTGTGTGTGTGTCGCTGCCTTTATTATAATATTTCACAAGACTTATCTGGAAAAAGCCCCCTGAGTTCCAGAATAATGTTTTCATCTTGGAAATAGGATGACATGACACAAAACTTTCTTGAAATTAATTGTAGGTTCTGTATATGTTAATTTCAGCAGAATAAAAAAGAGAAATTGTTTGGGATATCTAGAAGAGGTTAGACCATTCATTTTATTCTTGGATATATTGAATGTTGGTGTTTTGTGCATGAGAAAAGCTCTGATAATTTTAAGGGATTAGCCTATCTGCATGTGCCTTTTTCGGTGTACATTATAATGAATAAGATCCGCCTGGCCCCCTCGCTGGGTGTTTTAACAGCCAATTAAAAACTTGGCTGTTTAGGCAGGCCTTCCCTCCTGTCAATAGTTGACTTTATTTTTATTATAATTTTCTGTTTTTCCATCTTGAGCATTACTAAGCATTACTAATCACTATTGTTTTGAATTGTTTTTAACTGTTTTAGTTTACAATGTTTAATGGAACCCACCCGGAGTAGACTTGTCTAAAAGGGCGGGACAGAAATCTAATAATAAATAGAAATAAATAAATAATAAAGTTCATGACTATAGTATTTGGGAGTAGCGATGTAAAATTTCCTCAAAAATTCCATTTTTTTCCAGAAAAAAAAGAGAGAGAAAACAAACCTTTTTTTTCCTAGAAAAAAAATGGAATTTTGGGGAAAATTTTACACCTTTACCTACAAGGGGGAGTGAACACCACTCCCATTGCAGGCAGCCATAACCAGGGCCAGCCCTTAAGTTAGCCAGAGTGAGATTGTCATCTCAGACAGCAGTGTCTGGTGGGAATGAATAGGGCAACAGCAGTTCCCTGGCTGTTCCATTTTGTTGGAGGGCAACCTGCCTGATGCCCCTTATTTAGCCTCCTCCCCTCATATATGATGGAAGATGTCCTTCCATCCCATAATTCTGCAGCATCAAAGTAAATTCAGCCACCAGTCCAGGTGGCTTTTGAACATGGAAGGGAAGGGGCACCTTCTTCCTTGTCCCAAGCAACAGACCGGGTCAGAGTTTTGTCTGCCCTAAAGCAGGAAATGTATTTTCTTCACTTCTCAGTTGTGAATTGACAGTCAATTATTCCTGCAGAGTAACTGAGTTCACTTCTTCTACTTGCCCTCCACTAGTCTTTATCTGCTTTGGGTAGGTTAATAGCTCTACAAATGGAATAAGGTGAAAATGGCCCTTGCTCTGGGGGGAAAAACTTTTGTTTGAGCTTCACCATCCTGATCCGTAGGCCGCAATCCTACAAACACACACATTTGGGATTGAATGCTATGGAGCCCAGTGTGACTTCAGAGTAAACAAGGGTGGGTTTGTTTGCACTCTTATATTCCACACTGTTTTGGACATTATGAAGATCCATCATTTTATGGTGCAGGTAACACCTCTAATAATGTAGATCACAATAATTGCATCTATTGTTGTGCTCTTAGAGTGTGACCACATGGGCAGGTAGCTTGCATTTTGGAATGCTTTAAGGTGCAATTCAGTGTGAGCTATTTCTAGACCACCACACACCCTGCAGAGAATAGCACTTCAATCTGACCCCAATTAGTATTTAAACTGACTTTTCTGATCCAGCAGTAGAACTAGCACTATTTGGGCCATGCTGGAGTGATTCTCCAAAGGGGCTTAAGGAAGATTGCTCTTTGCAAAATGACCCTCTCAGGTGTAAGGAGAGATGCTCACCGTTTGATTGTACATACGTTGGTTGTGGTCAGTTCATTACTCAGTCGTCAAGCTTCTTCTGATGAACATAACTATATACTTGAGAATGGCTGATGGTCGGATTCCAAAGGATCTCCTCTATGGAGAATTAGTGCAGGGAAAGCGCCCCAGAGGGAGACCACAACTGCGATACAAGGACATCTGCAAGCGAGATCTGAAGGCCTTAGGAATAGACCACAACAGATGGGAAACCCTGACATCTGAGCGTTCAGCCTGGAGGCAGGCACTGCATCACGGCCTCTCCCAATTTGAAGAGACCCTTGTCCAGCAGGCCGAGGCAAAGAGGAAGTCATAAAAGAGCAAAACCAGGGAACCGGACAGGGGACAGATTGGATTTGTCTTCAGTGTGGAAGAGATTGTCACTCTCGAATTGGTCTTCTCAGCCACACTAGACGCTGTTTCAAGTCCTCTATACAGAGCACGTTACCATAGTCTTTCGAGACTGAAGGATGCCTATACATCATCCTAGAAGTGCAGAGCTGGAAGCGCCCCTATGGATCACTGAGTCCAGCCCCTGTCAAGGAGGCACAGTGGGCCTTTCACCACATTTGAACAAATGTGTGGTGTTGGAAGGATGGAGCTCAGTTGGGTGTGCCATGCTGCCTGCCCTGCCTTTTTAAAGCTATTGTTCTCGGGTACTAGTGGAGGTCATTGTCCCATTACCAGAGTAGAAGTTGCACTCCATGGTCAGTCTGTTTGGTTTTTGTACTCATCCTTGATCTTGGGCAGGAAAATGTCTCAGACCAGCCCCAACATCCAGGGCCATAACTAGGGTGGAGGAATCAGGGCTTTGCCCCAGGGCTGCAAAATTGAGAGGGTGCCAAAAGCTAGAGGGGAATCTACTAGCAAGTTGTAGGAAAATTAATAGCAAGACTTCCCTGCTCTATTCATGTCTCAGGATGGAGTGGGTAAGAGATGGTGCTGGCTGGCTCAAGTCCCATAATTGCCAGTTACGGCTCTCCTAGCATCCAACAAAATGCCCCCACAGCAGGCAAGAGTGTGTGACAGGCAAACTGATCTGTCAGAATGTTCCATGAACATTGTTTCATTCGTTTCGTTTAGTCATGTCCGACTCTTCGTGACCCCATGGACCAGA